TGCATCCAGCCTGGCTAAAGTAAGGCATTACAAAATTTCAGAATCATCATGGACCCTTTCAGAAGAATATGATGAATAATAAGGTGTACAAACCTCGCTTAATTTAAAATAAATAAATAAATCTGCATTGATGCTAAGAGTTACCGTGTGACTTACTGCTTTTAATTTTTCACAAATGTCTGAAATAAATACTGAGAGTATTTACACCAAGACAAATTCCTTGTGTGTCCAATCACACTTGGCCAATAAAGTATTCTATCTTCTATCTATAAGGCATCTTTTATCAAATTTAAAGGACGCTTTGGCTGTTAAAATATTTTATAATTTGAATACTGGCATTCTAATCTAGATTTAAGTTTGTATCCAAGAAAATGTTTTACAAGTTAATAGTTCTAAATATTTGGAGTTAATATAAGGAAGAAGGCAGCTATTTTTCCATTGATTTTACTGATTTTCAGCATTTGTCTCTTAGCTCATAAAAGAAAAAAGAAATAATACTGTATAATGTATACAGTACTGTGTTTAGCTCTGTTGTGGAGCTTTTGAAGCACTTCATTTGAGCTTGAAAAGCAAAAATATAATTATTAATTTACCCCCTAAACAGTTGAAAAAAACATGTTTTTCATCTTTTGTTGAGACCACCATCACATAATGTTATACAATACGGACAATTGTAATTAATACGGCAGAGATAATTGGGAACCTGTTCTTTTGGAGCGATTATACAGGTTTTTGGGATTTGCTCATTTTAAATCATCCTTCAGAGGTGAGCTTTGTGAGGTCATAGTCTCATTTGACATCAGAATCCCATGAACTCCTGTATAGCAGGATAAATCAGGAAGAGACATAGAGCTGCCAGAGGGAAGTCTGTATTTAAACACAGCTCCCTTTGATTGTTGCAAATGGAGAGAGGAACATGATGAAATTTCTAAGGTGACTAGCCGCAAACTGAGTAATAGAGTCTATATGTTTTAAACAAAATTTGAAGTAAGCACAAGGGTTTGTTTGAATACATCTTTACTTTTTAAGCAATATTGTAAAGTATTCATTAAAGAGTATTTTTGTTTCCCTATGGGTACAATAGTAAATTTGGCTTTTAAATTGCAGATTATAATAATCAGTGGTGGTATTCAAAATAAAGTTGCCACCGGTTAGGTGGGCGTGGCTTGGTGGCCGCGCTTTGCGCGCATGCACACGCTTTGCGTGCACACGCGCACCAAACACGCACTTTACGCAGGTGCAGAGGCGTTCTAACTTGCCTCCTGCAAGCCTGCACGATGGTGGTCGCTGCAGCAGCTGCCACGTGGCGCTATTTTGCACCGCGCAAAGCAGCTGTGCTTTGAATTCTGGGGATAAAAGTGAATATGGGAGCCCGGGCAGGCGGGTGGGCCAACCACAGAGCAGCAAAGAGAACCGGTTCGGTCTCCACTGCTCATCGCTGCTACCGGCTCTCTAGAACCAGGCAAAACCGGTCGAATACCACCACTGATAATGCAATGTATGCTTCCAATAGGTGGTGTCTGAGAAATTTTATAAGAACATCATTTCTTCACTGCTAATAATGGCTGAAGAACAATGTAATATTTAAGGTTTTTATGATGTGTAGTCAGATTAATAAAAGCACAGTTAAAATTGCAGGTCTAGCATTACATTCTTATTTTTAAAAAATCACCTTGGATATTACTGCTGTGTTTTTAATAATCTCATATATTTAAGACTTGAATCATATTTTAAAACAGCAACTTATTTTTAATTTCAATGTTCTTCATCTTTAACAAGCTGGTTTTTCTTTCTGGGTTGGCAAGACAATATGTGAATGTCTTCGGCAAACCATAACATGATTTTTCAGGTTCTCTGTGGACTAGAGCCAGAATTACTTCTGTACAGGGAAGGAGGTTTTGGGACATCCATGGGGCGGGGGCGGGGGCGGGGGTCAAGATTAAAATGGGGATGCAACCCGGAAATTGAAGCCCTGCAGTATCATGCATATTGCATGCACATAAAAATTGAGGGCCTTTGATTGGCCAGCCAAACCTATCTTTGGATATCATTCTCTCTCCCTGCCCCTCCCCATCCCCCCCAAAAAACACATTGTGGTGTATTTCATTTACAGCAAAGACTGAATCCCTGCTGGAATAAGAAGGTTATTTTTGTCAGTCCAGTTCTCTCTTTCTAATACACTTACATTGTTCTAGAACCATGATGATGAACCTGTGGCACCTGTGCCAGAGGTGGCACACAGAGCCCTCTCCCTCGGCACGTCAGCCGTGGTCACCCCAACTCATCTCCACCACACGTGTGTGCACACACCTCCTGATGGCCAGCTATTCTTTGGGTGTCTGCCATGCATGTCCAGGGGGCATCTACAGAGGTCACACACGCACGTGCGGGGCACACACATTGCATTTTGGGGATGTACGTGCTCTTTGGGCACTTTGGTGCCAAAAAGTTTAGCAATCACTGTTCCAGAATATTCACTTGTCTTGCGGAACAGTTTTTCAAGAGGCTAAAGATGCAATAACAGTGTAGAGAGTCTTGGCCTTGAGAGAGATACTTTGAAGCCATTACAAAAGGTAAAAGGACAGAAGCTTTTCTTAAAAGAGTGGAAAGGAAAGAATATTAGGAAGAGACCTAGGTGGGTTCTTCCCTGACTCACTGTGATATAAGACAGGCGGGAAGAAAAGAAAAAAAAAAGACTTGCAATTATTACAGTCTATCTCAACGAAGCTTAGTTCTTGTGGAACCTGTTTCCTGATCTGGACAACCTCCAACAACTGATAGAAAAGCATCGTTTCCTTCCTCCAGTAAGGAAATGCGTGTAACATTTTTCTGTTCAAGCCAATGCATTTTGGATTGCAATATAAATATATGTGGTGTCTTCCAGAGAATTTTGATCTCTGGTGCCCTCCTCCCTGATAATTGGCCCTTCTAACTATAGCTTAACAGGGGCATGATGGCTTAGCAGTTAAGGATGCTGAGCTTGTCAGCTGGAGCTGACAGCCTGCGTTTGAGACCCGAGTGCTGTGTGATGGGGTGAACTCTCCTTACTTGCCCAGTTTCTGCCCACTTCTAGCAGTTCGAAAGCATGCAACTGTGAGTAGATAAATAGGTACCACTTTAGTGGGAAGGTGTAACAGCATTCTGTGCACCTTGGCACATAACCAGTCCTGCCACATGACCACGAAAATGTCTTTGGACAATGCTGACTCTCTCGGCTAAGAAACAGATGAGCACCACCTCCTCGAGACAGACATGACTGGACAGGAGAAACTTCTGACTTTAACTGTGGCTTATGGGAATTGAAGGATAGTAGGTTTTCCACTCCCACTGTGAAATATATCGGTTTCCATTGTGTTTACACTGGAAGCAACAAATATTAGAAATAAAATGGTTCCATTATGGCTTATTATTTAAAGTTACCTTAAATAACAAAGCTTCGTGGCATTTTTTTTTTGGATTTTTTTCAATTTGGATGGACAGCTAATGGGTGACACAAAATTGCTAATATTATTGAGTCTTAACACATTATGATATTCCTGTAGTTCTCATTTAACAACCACAGTTGGGACCAGCAATTCCGTCATTAAATGGAGCAGTTGCTAAGTGAATCCACACCTATGTTTATGATCTTACTTCAGTTTTCTTCTGCTTTAAAAATTGTAAATGTGAGGATTGATCCTAAAGTTATTTTTTCACTATTGTTGTAACTGCATACAGTTAGCAAATGAGGTAGTCATTAAATGAGGACCGTCAGTAGTCAGAAAGGCACTTTCTGGCAGACTAAAAAATGCAGTTACTGTTTGGATTCATGGAACTGTTATAGCTGGGCATTATTATAGCTCAAAAGCCCGGATACTTGTTCTGTTCAGAGAAAGTAATTGAAGTTTGGTGCAAGCACTGATGCTGGTATATAGCATTCTAAAACTGTATTTTGCAAAGATGAATTGATAACTTGCAGATGCGAAATCCTTCAAATGCAAAAAAAATAAAATAATCAAAGATGCCTCGGTTGCAAGCTTAATGACTGAAAGGATGATGTGCACGTTACATATTTGTTGCTGTAGAACCAATTTAGTGAGATTGAAAAGCTTTTACAGATACTAATAGTAAAACTGATGTCTCACTTGGTTAAATAAAACCATATTGAGCTAGACAGTAACACAATGTATATACCACAGGAGAATATCTGTAGCTCACGATTGAAATGAGGGCTCTTGTATTATGGATGTTTTATTATTAGTTTTTAATTCTTGCCTGCCAAGAATTCATTGAAAATAACAGGCTCAAATCAAAACATATAAAACCTTGAGGAATTTAAAAGAGTTTTTAAAAAATATTTAAAAGAGGAAAAGCTTGAAAAAAGTAATAGCTCACTAAGGCAGGTGTGTCAAATGCACGTCGCAGCGTCATGTGATGTATCACAGTTTTCCCCCCTTCGCTAAACCGGGTGTGAGCATGGCCAGCATGTGTTGCATCCGGCCTGTGGGCTGCGAGTTTTGACAGCCCTGCACTAGGGAATTTATATCCAACATATAATCTCCTGTACTGCATAGCCACAGGTTTGGGAAACCCAGAGAACAAAATAACTAGAGACTGCAAGCTTTTGACCAATTTAGACTTCTTGTCGATAGGATCTGTGAGGAAACAATGGATGGAGGGGAAGATCACTGTGCTTGGCTGCTTTTGAATAGCACAAATAATGCCTTTATGTCCTCCTTGCCAAATTCCTGGATGGGTTCCTATTTGATACAGACCTGTATATACTAGAACTAGACCTCTGCTTGAAGAAGACAATGTAAATTCACAAGAGCAATCCCCAAGCTCATGTTGTCCTTTCTTTCCTTATCTTCCTCTTGTCTTCCTAGTTTATTGAAAGTTCAAGTAGACAGACAAACAAACCTGTATGGAAATATCAGTGACATCACAGGGGTCTGACATCTAAGCATATGTTGCTATAATTTCAACTAAAAATCTTAACCTCTGGGGACCCTGTCTTTCAGGCTTAAGCTCAAAGGCACAACCATGAAAGATCCAAGTCGTAGGAGTACTAGTCCAAGCATTATCAGTGAAGATATGATCATGAATGGTCACTCTCATGAAGATGATAATCCATTTGCAGAATATATGTGGATGGAAAATGAAGAGGAATTCAACAGGCAGGTAAGTGGGAGGATGTTGTAATGACGAGGCAGTCGAGTTGTTTGATCATGATCAACTGAATCATGATGATCTTTATTGGAGTCTAGTCTTGAAGCATTTATACACATTTTTAGTTATCCTCCATCACTGGTTAATTTGGTTACTGCTTAACTTTCGTTACTGTTTAGCATAGTAATTAACACAATTAATTAACTCTAGTTAAAGTCTAACATATGTTTACTTCCTCTCTCTAATCCTCCTCTAGATTAGTGACTTTGTTTGTCTGAGTTGTATTTGCTTGGACACATTCTTTATCTGAGGTTTGCCATCCGAGATAGGAACATTCCTGCAATTACAACTCTACAGGAGGATACATTGCCTCTTGTGTTTTTTCTTCTGCATTTTTGGAAAGATCCCACTTTTTTCCTGTTAATCTAGTATTCTTCCAGTGTTTACTATGAATCTCTAAACAAAAAAGATCCTTTAACTCTGTTGGATTGAAGAATAGTAGATTTTTGATGGTAGGTCTATTTGCATTTGCTGTTTAACTACCACTTAATGTGCAATGCTATATGTTGGGTTCTTGGTGCTATTTCCTTACAAACATCTCACTGCCAGGCTGGGTAACATCATTAGTGCAGCAGAGAGTGGAGGTATAGTTTTTATATGTAGTCTGCCAAACTTGGTTGGAGTTTAGTTTCTCTCCAGTTGTTTATCTAGTGCTATTTCCTGGTTATCTAGATGTTGGCTTTGTTATCTGGGTTGACTTTTGGTTAATTATTTTAATGGTACACAGATAAGGTTTATCTCTTATTTTTTAGTAATGATAGTGGTGGCTCAAGGTTGACTCGGCCTTCCATCCTTCTGAGGTGGGTAAAATGAGGACCTGGATTGTTAGGGGCAATACGCTGTAAACCACTTAGAGAGAGGGCTGTAAAGCACTATGAAGCGGTATATAAGTCTAAGCGCTACAGCAGAAAAAGAAGCTAAGAGAACACCAATGGGTGGGAGGGGGAAGGGATAGTTTGAGTGACAGAGGAAGAGCCTTTTAGGGCTCAGACCCAGTGTTGTGGCAGTGTGGAAGAAGCAGGCATCTACACTTCCTTTTCCTTTTCTGCATCTGCCCTCAATTGCCGCAGCTTATGGGAGGGAGCTCAACACCTGAGCTCTCCTAACGTTTTGGGGACGATCCATCTGAGAGGTTTTTCCTCAGGGCTCAGACAGTTCTACTCAGCTCCCTTGATAATAGATTTCCTTCTGTCGTTCCAATTAAAGATTGAAGAGGAATTGTGGGAAGAAGAATTTATAGAACGTTGCTTCCAAGAAATGCTGGAAGAAGAGGAAGAGCACGAATGGTTTATCCCAGCAAGAGATCTTCCGCAAACGATGGATCAAATTCAAGACCAGTTTAATGATCTTGTTATCGGTGACAGTTCGTCACTGGAAGATCTGGTGGTAAGCATCCCATTTTAAAAATTGAATTATTTTAATCAAGCACCTTTCTTCAAATGTTACCAGTGTACTTTGTCAGCCGTCTCACTCAGAAGCTAGCTGAGATGTGGCCTCCTGACAACAAGTGTACCATCTTATTCTCCTTCTTCTAAACTTTTCATATAGTCCAGGTGAAAGTATTTATTTTTGTCAAATGCACAGGTGTGCATTGGGAGAGAAGAATACATGGAACCATTTGAGAGGGCAAAGATTGGACATGTGGCTAAGTGATTAGCAAAGCGGTTTAATTCTTGTAGGGTTCAGAGGTCTCTCTATTTTAACTTTTCCCTCTGCATTTGATACCATTTGAAGGTCTGGTAGATGAGAAGAGCCAGGAAGCACTTTCTTACTAGCATTTGCTGTAGTTAAGTCGACTGGCCATGGTGCGTAGTACTATTTTCTAATATATAGGCTTTAATTACTTTTAAATTGAAAGGGTAAAATCAGGAGAATATGAAAATGAGTATAGATCATAAAGGATAACTAGAACATTAAACATTTAAATATTTCCATGATTTTTAAGCCAACCTGTGGTTCCTTTGATAAGTTACAAATGAGGTAACTTATTTAAATACAGGAGCCTGTGGAGCATTACATTTTAGCTCATATTCAGCATGCACATATTTTTCCCAAAGTTACAATATTGGTTTATTTGTATTTACTGGGTTTGATAAGTTAAATTTTACATAAATTTTACTAATAAAGCAAGCTCCTGTTCTGAAGAAAATGCATTTTGCTTTTAAATGATTCCTATACCAGCAGGCGGTGTCTTGAAGGAACTTGGGTCCCAGATTGGCACCCACTGTCCATGTTTTTTTGCAAGTACTTTTTTTTTTACAAAGTCCTGGTACATTTTTTTAGCTATCCAACTAATTAAAATCCTTCAATGGTGAGAAAGTTGGTGAATCCTTGGGTGCCATCCATAATCCTGCAGTCTTATTAATGGATAAAGAGGTTATGGTTAAATAAATAATATTCCAAATGATATTCTGTGTTGTGTCTTTATTAGACACATTCAGACAACCCTGCTTGTCTTTGTTGGAAAAAGTATGTGAAATAACTGTATTAAGAGGCCAATTGAGTCAGATGGTCCAGTTAATGAGAGAGCAATCAGTTTTAGAGGTGCTCTCCATGTTTTTAAACGTTGCTTCATTTAAAACATCCAAGAAAAAAAGTAAGAGAAACATTATTTTAAAATAACTGAAGAGTAAACATTGATTATCACAAGATAAGTAATTTATATGAGAGCTTCTTATGTGTATGTACATATACACACATTCATCCACAAAGGTTTCAATAAAAGATAACAATATTTCATTGTAATTGTCCATGCATAATCTATGTCAATAGCCAACTCATTTATAGGATGCATGTAACATGTTATCTTCAGGCTACTGGGTAATTCATAAATTTGTCTTAAATTTAAATTTAGTTTGAAGAACTAACCTCTTGGGAATAATAAGGACATGGAGAATTCATTTCCATTGTTCATCTGTCAGTTTCCTTGAGGTCAGTATGTAGTTCAAAAGAATGTTTGCATCTAAAAATTATAAACCTTGTTTCAAAGTCAAAATATATGTAAATTATTTCTTCCAAGAAGATAAAATCATGCTTTCATGAAGTATTACTCGAAGTGCATCATTATGATTTGTTCCTCATCTCTGAATCTCATATTTAAGTCATTATGATTTTCATGTATGTACTGAATTTATCAATTATTTAGATATTCTTATTCCATGGGGTATTTTCTCATATAATTATACTGAATATGAGTAAGAGATATATAGACGTTTCTTTGACATTGATGGGAATCATTCCTGTAAACGTTACCCTCTGGGATAGGATAAAGGCTTAAAAAGAAGGGTTTTTTTTTATATTTTGCATGGAATTTCTTTATATGTAAAATAATACTTTAAAAAAACACAGTTCACTATTTTGTAAACATACAAGTATGTCTATAACAGAGTGTGTGAAGCAAAATGAATGTTGCATTCAGGAATGGCTGAGTCTTGACCTTTAACCCAACTGAAATCTTGAAGTGCTGATAAGAGCAGTTTATGCTAGACAGTCCACAAATATCCATGAATTGAAATGGTTGTAAAAAGGGGTGGGCCAAAATTCTTCCAAGGCAAGTTGATGTATTGATCAACTAGCGTTGGAAGCATTTGATTGAAGCCATTTCTGTGAAAGAAGGTTCTACTATTACTATATTACTAAAGTATCACATACTTTTTCCAGCAAGGACAGTAAACGTTGGCTCAGACTGTTGAGTAAAGAGGTGACAGAATGCAGTGTTTTAACCAGATTCTCTTTATCTATTAATAGGTTTTCAGTGAAGCTCAGATCCCGTTGTAAGTCTGCAGGGTTACAAATAGTTCTAAAGATCACATAAACTCTCCCTTACAATATAGTAGATACAATATCATAGTCTGATGATGTTCTCATTTGGTAGGTATTCTTAAAATTCTATTGCTTTGGTTGTAAATTAAAAAGCTTAGAATTTTGTATAAGATGAACTAATTTTTTAGCTGAAATTTCAGCCTGTTATCACTTACAGGGATATTGTTTTTTTTTTTTTAAAATGATAAATTCTAAACCCAGCCCAATGCAGACGGGACAATTTATTGTGCTTTTGATATTTGCATTAATACATTGAAATATTACCCTTCCTCTGTGTGTGAATTGAACACTTAATATGGATGGGCAGGTCTGTTGTGTGAATACCAAATGTACTGAACCAATCCAGTTGCTCTTATCATAGGTAAATTTCCTGTCTTTTTAGTATTCTGACTGAGAGCAACTTAAAGCAGTTTTTTTTAATATAGCACCTTTAAAGTTCGATTTTTTTAACCTCAATACAAACTGAATTCTTTTGTAATTGCCTCTACCTGCATATTAAGGTCATCCACTCTGCTCTGAATTTATAAGTTGGGTTGTATCTTATAAGGCACCACGTCATTTTGTAAGAGCAGGATTTGTGTACTGTAAGAAAAATATATGAAAGTTCCCGCTGTATCATGCTCTGCTTCGTATCATGGCCATACACATGAATCCAGAAATGTGGATAGGAAAATAATAGATTTAAAATCTTAGGACTTTGCCAAATCTCACAAGATTGATTTTGCATATTTTGGGTGAGAATATCAAAATCTTGTAAAATGTCAAATGCCATTACCAAATACTGAGAGATATGGCAATTTTCTAAAATTGCAATACTTTATTTATTTATATTGGATACCTGCACCATAGAGCAGCTTTGTGGAGCATAATCATCTCTGGCCCACAAATTGAGAACTGGTAACCTGGTCTCCTTTTAAGTCTAAATTGGGATTCCATCTGTTGGCAGGAAGTTCCATAGTTTATATATGTATTGGGCGAAGTATTTCACATGACCTCAACTTCCAATATTGTAAATAAAAAGAAGAATTGGATCTGTAGTTTCTGCACCATGCATGATGTTATACCACTTTATTATGTCTTTCCTTATTTACGTTAATCCAAGTGAAAAAACCCTCAAGTAGTCATTCCTCCTAAGGAACCTATTTCAGCCCCCTTATAATTATGGCTGCCCATTTATATACTTATTATTTTGTACCTTTTCAAGGTATAATCCCAAGTGTGCATAGTATTCCAGTCTCAATTTTAGACAGATAAATAAATGGCATTCCTTTTTTTTTCTTTTGCACGTTTTCAGTTTCTTTCTTAAATCTGGACACGAGAAGTGTCATTTTTAACAAGAAATGCTCTTTGAGTTTTGTTGAGTTGTGCACCCAGAGTCCATCATTCTTTTCTGATCATTCAAAGCAACCTCAACTCCCATTCATGGAAGTTACATTTGGATTTTATAAATATCCATCTGTATTACTTTTTGCTTGCTCATATTGATTTGCATTTGCCATTTTGAGGCCTATTTACTCAGTTTGGTGAGAGGTCCTTTTGGAGCTCTTCACAATATCTTTGTTATGAAAATGCAGATCTTTATGTCATTAGCAGATTGGATCACTTTACTCCTTAACTTCAGTTCAATTATAAACTAATTAAAAGCACTGATCCTACCACCAGTCCACAGGAATTTCACTTTGCACTGTTGTCTACTTGTCTCCTTTTTTTCTTATTCTTAAGCCAATTTCCAACCCCTAAGAAAATAAGCCTTTTTTAATCGCCTGGCTTCCAAGTTTGCTCAAGAACCTCTTAATAAGGGACATTACCAAAAGTGCACACAGTGTCTGATGGATTTCCTCCTCTACGTTTTTGTTAATATTGTCAAAACAAGTCTAGAAAATTAGTTTAGGGAGAGCAATATGTGATCCTCTAGATCAGGGGTGTCAAACTCGTGTCATCATGGCGGCGTCACGTGACGTACCTGTGACTTTTTTCCTTTTTGCTAAACCAGGCGTGGGCATGGCCAGCACGTGATGCATCCAGCCCGCAGGCCACAAGTTTGACACCCTTGCTCTGGATGCTGCTGCTATATTACAACTTCTGTTTGTCTTACAATAGCCAGTGGAGAAAAATGCTGAAAACTCCAATTTAACATCATCTGGAGAGCTACATGTTGTTCACTGATATATTCAGTTATTGTTGTGAAAGCTGGTTTAGCTCTATCAAAGGAGGAGATTGAGATCCTGGATTGGGTGCTATCAATCAACCCAGGGGATCCTGTCTGTCTGGCATGTAAGCTGACTAAGCTGTTTCCTTGGCAAGAGTATCTTGCTTTCTCCACTGAGACCTATTTTCAGGAGTGTTTTCACTGAAAAAAAAAACACCTGTTAAACGTGCAAATTTGTTCAAAACAAAACCTTAGGCTCCACAGTCTAAGCTTTTAAAATCTCTCTCTTCCAGGTCAAGAGTAATCTGAATCCCAATGCAAAGGAGTTTGTTCCTGGGGTGAAGTACTAAATATATGAGTAGACTGGGCCCTCTTTTGGTGGATGTAGCACAATTTCCACACTGTGAAGCCAGTATTAGAAGATTTAATTGTTAAAACGCTCTCTCTTCTTGTCACTGTGTTACACTTACGCATTGCCAAAGTTTTGTTAGTCTTGCATGCTTAATAAAAGTGCTGAGACTGTTATTAAGTCAACTGCTGTCAGAGGTTAATGAATTGGAAAAGTCTAATTGGATCCAGGCTTTTTGTGAGGGAGACAATAAGGAAGGAAGCACCAGTCATGTTGAGAAAAGTACCAAGTTTCTGAGAAACTCTTGCAATTCTGTTTTTAGAAGGATTCAGACTTTGATAAAGAGTGGTCTGTTTTACTTAAAAACTTATGGCGGTGTTGATATGCACCCAATAATGCCTTAATGTGAAAATAAAAGCAAGGTTTATCTGATTATGCAGATTAGCTGAATTTCAGTACTGCTATTAATTCCTCCCATTATCAAGCAAAACTTTACTCCACACTGTTCTTTTTTGAGGAAAGTGTGAATTGTAAAAATACCTGAATCACTTTTACAGGCCTGTATAGAATCCTTTCTCTCGGCTACAAATCTGGTTGGGGGGGGGGGGGGGGGGGGAGAAAATTTGGCAATTGAGATTATATTTGCAGCAAGTTATCATGTTGGAATGTTTGTCCCACTTCTGAGTTTAACGTGATGTGAAGTTGCACATCACAGATTCTTCCAGGAATCCAGAAACATGGCACTGCCTCTGTAAAATTTTACAATCTTAAAAATTGGATTCAATTGTAAATTTTAGCATTAGTGATTTGAGTGGTGCTTTTCCCTTGCTTTGTTTAATCATCACTACACAATAGTCTACAGCACAGCTTTTTTTAAAAAACACCTAGTACAGTTTTGGCTTCTTAAACTTCATATTTGGGTAGCTTACGCTGCCTTATGTGTTCAGTGTGAATAGTGTTTAAGTTGAAAATATTGTAAAAAAATTATATTTTTTCAAAAATATTTAAAAAAAAATAAATAACAGTAGAAATGACAAAATGCGTGTTCATCTTATTTGTGGCTTGTGAGAACGACTTTGTTGTCCTGTTCACACATTACATTTACAACCACCAATGCAAACCCAGAATCTGAGATGAAAGCTGGAAATGATGAAAAATTCTCAGAAATAGCCCAAATGACATTCTTGTCAGAAAAAGAGAGTCCTCTATAAAAGAAGCAAATTCAAGTAGGTGCAAATGTGTATTCATTTTGTCCCTTTATTTAATATCCTGGTTTGTCTTTATACAGTACTAAATGCCATAAATGTGAAAGCTTTTTAAATGCAATTGCGACCCTTTAGGATTGAAAGTGGCTATAGTCTTGCAAGCTGCCAATGAAACGATAAGATTGGTGGTGCAGGCCTTCAAGACTGACTACATGCAGAACATCAGGAATGTTTGCAGCAAAAAAGAGATGCCAGCATTTCAAGTGGACAACCATGAAAGCCAATTAGCTGATATATAAAAACCTGACCAAAGCTTATAGTAGTAGTTCTGGCGTGTAATTTCTCAGCACTTCTGCTCCTTTTCTACTTGTGGTAGCTTTATAGTACCCTTGCTTAATGATTGTTAGGAATCGAAAGAAACAGAACAGGGCTGGTTTGCTGCAGATGTACACCAAAAAAGAGCTCTGGGCAAAAGTGGTTTTGGGAAAAACGAACTGAAAAACCCAGGACATAAGTGGTGGTTTAATAGTGAATTTTAAAAACAGTTATAATCAACAGATGAAGATACAGGAAATCCTCAACATACAACTACAGTTGAGTCCAAAATTTATGTTGCTAAGTGAGAAATTTGTTAAGTGAGTTTTGCTCCATTCTACGACTTTCCTTGCCACATTTCTTAAGTGAATCACCGCAGTCGTTAAATTAATAATCTGGTTATTAAGTGAATCTGGTTTCTCGGTTGACTTTGCTTGTCAGAAGTTTGCAAAAGGGGATCACATGACTTGGGAATACTGCAACTGTCGTAAATACGAGTCTGTTGTCAAGCATCTGAGTGTAAATCACATGGCCGTAGGGTTGCTGCAACGGTCATAGGTGTGAAAAATGGTCATAAGCCACGTTTTGCAGTGCCATTGTAACTTCGAATGGCCACTAAGTGAACTGTTGTAAGTCGAGGACTACCTGTACTGTATTTTAATAATCTGCGTCACTGCCCTTTAATGTGCTGCACTTCATATGTTCTGAATTATAATTCCCTTCCTGCACTACAGCATGTTCCCAGTAGTCATGCAGTCCGCAGGGAACTGCAGTCCAAACAATGGGGGACATCAGCTGAAAGAGGACTGACCTTAAAATTTTCACATTGAGAAGTCATACAGCTGTATTTTGTTTAGTATGTACTTGACAAATATACAAGGAAATACCTGAATAGGTATGGATTGGGGTTTGGGCCTCTTCACATGTCATTGAATCTCAACCCAAGCTACCTTCCCACCATGTTAATGGAGAAAGATGCTAAAAATTAAATTTAACAACAGGTTAAGCTTCCCATTTCTCTCTCTCTTTTTTTAAATTTCCTAAACTACCACTTTAGATTTCTTAAAATTTCCTCTTAGTTTTCATCCTTTCCTGGTTGTCTTTATAAGACAAATCATTAATGATTGTAAAAGGATAAATGGATCTTGGGTGTTTGAACCATTTCATGTGCATATATAAAAAAAGAATTTGATTCCTGGAACTTGTGAAGAAAATCTTGATAAGAGTGTTCTTCAGATTATCTACCACCTATTAATTAATATTTTAA